GCTGGGATTAGAGGCATGTGCCAAAGCGCCTGGCTGGGATTAGAGGCATGTGCCAAAGCGCCTGGCTGGGATTAGAGGCATGTGCCAGAGCGCCTGGCTGGGATTAGAGGCATGTGCCAGAGCGCCTGGCTGGCCATTTTATCTTTAGTGTGTTACCTTTTTTCACCTGGTGATCTGAAGGTGAAAACTGCAGCTTTTGCTTGGGTGTGGATTTCTTTGGTTTTGAGAAGTCTGCACGGTGTCTCCTTATGTGTGTTAACTGTGAGTCTGTTCTGTGCTAGCTGTTCACGTTCTCTGCCCGTGTACCCACCTCGTCATTGAGACTGTCCGTGTACTCTTCGAATGTTGAAAACGAGCTCATCTGTCTCGTGTTGCCATGTCTCTCAGTTGTTGCCTGTTCTTTGCCTTTTAATGATGCTTTTTCTTATATTAGCAAATTTTTAATGAAAATAAACTATCAACTTTATCTTTTATGGCATAGAAAGGCCTCCCCTGTTCAGAGCTTATAAAAGACACTTAACACATGTTTTTCTACTACGATTGTGGTTTTATTTTTACATGAAACGGCACCTTTCTTGAAAATTATTCTAGAGCAGTCTAAGCGACCTCGCCTTGAAGTGGGTCATCCAGGGGTAGTTTTCCAGCACCCAGGGGTGAACGCGGGCGTCCCTCTGCAGCAGTTAATGCCGACAGTCCAAGGTAAGCCCCGGCGGACAGCAGCACCGTTCGCGCATAGCGAGGGCGTGCACGGAGATCTTGACAGCCGAGAGGCTGTGAACTCCAGGGAGTGCTAAAGTTGGGGTGCTCCCTTGAGTCCCCTCAACCTACTGTGGAAAAGCCCCTGGAGACGTGTTCTTGCCACTCAGATGGGACCCACACCCCTCATTGTCGTTGTGCTTTCCAGCAAGTTTCATGCCTGTGTGTTTCTGAGTTACTGCTGTTGTGGGTTCCCTGTGATTGTCGGATGCTCGTTTTTGCTTGGCGCTAACTTGCGAAGGCCGAGTGCCTCTTTCCTTCTCTGTGTGCTCATCCGACATTAGACTGTAGAACACTCACTCCATTTGAGTGTGGCGGTTCTCAAGTGGGCTTCGGGATATCAAGTGCATTTTCCATGAGCGTGTGGAGGCTGCTGCACTCTGAAGTCAGTGCTCTGGCTTTCTTGTTTTGCAGGAGGGATGCCACCCACTCCCCAAGCCACACAGCTCTCTGGACAGAAGCAGAACCAGCAGCAGTATGATCCCTCCACTGGCCCCCCCGTGCAGAATGCTGCCAGCCTGCACACCCCGCCGCCGCAGCTGCCCACCAGGCTGCCCCCAGCCAGCGTGCCTGCCGCGGCTCTGCCTTCTGCACTGCAGTTCTCACAGCAGCCACAGGTGGTTGACGCGCAGGGCCAGCTCCAGGTTCCGGTGAAGACCCAGCAGCCACATATCCCCATCCCTGCGCCCCCTCCCAGCCAGCTCCCCACCCCTGCTTCCCAGCCTGTACAGCCAGCCCTCCACACTCAGATGCCTGGGAAGGCACAGCTGCAGGTCTCTCAGCTTCCAGTCCAGCCCCAGGTACTCCATGGACATTTGCTGTTTTGTTAGTTGCAGGAAAAAAGAAGTCGAGGCATTGACTTGCCGTCCACACATTTAGCAGGATGGTGCACAGCAGTGGATTTCTTTGTTTTCTCGTAGCATAGCAGTTTTGCTTGCCTTCTTAGACCATTAAGTTGATTTGATTTGGTGACTGCGATGTAATTTCATTTAATGCAGTAATAGTTATCATTATTAAAATAATAGCTGAGTGCAGTTCCACATGCCTATAATCACAGCGCTTGGGGTGCTGAGGCAGGAGAATCATTGGGAGTTCGAGGCCAGCCTGGACTTCATAGTGAAACGCTTGTCTCAAAACCAAAAAAAGCAGACTAAGAAGCTGTTGTTATTAACGCTCATAGTACAGAGCCCCAGGGCGCCGGTTACAAAATGCTGCAAAGGGCTGCGTGTCTCTTACACACTGTGAACTGCCCAGTGAAGCTGGAGCCCAGCTCTACCAGCCTCAGAGATGCTGGACTGGGCCCTGTGTTACATGATGACAGGGTGACAAGCTAGAGTGGGAACCTACTCTGTCTGAGGGCAAAGCCATACTCCTAATTACCCACCGGACCTCTTCTACACGCCTTCTTTCCCTTACCTAAAGTATAGATGTGTGTGAGGCATCACTGATCTGGCTTAATACACACTTCATGTAAAATGCCCTTCTGCCCACATTGTTCTGTTTCACCCCAGTGTGGGTTTGGAAGGCATATAGCAAGCTGGCTTCGGTTCCGGGGCCCAGCGAGTGGCAGGAGCTGCTGCACCATCCCTGCTGAGAGCACAAAGGGGCTGGAGGGAAGGGTTTTCAGAGAATTGTCTCCATTCTCCTAATTCATTTGTATTTTGAGAACCTCCTTTCCTGTTACCTCATGCTCACTTTCAGTAGAATTCCTGGGGGCTTTGAGTTAAGGTTCATTACGATTTGAAGCCAGGTCTTATGTGTATAGTAATAGCACGGCGGCAGTCAGTCCTAGACACCACCTGCTCATCAGCTTCCTGCTGATGGTCAGGCACCATGACAAAGTCTTCCTGGCATCATTCTTTCTTCCCTGCTCGGGGATTATAAGAGGCTAGCCCCTTGGCGCATTGCACACACAGAACCAGCAGGGCTGCGCCTGTCTATCCAGGGTACAGCTTAGATGCTTGTGGAAGTGGTTTTCTTTCCTGGAGCCACATACTGAGCTGGAGCAGTGCTGTGGTTCTTCATAGACTGGTTCACCTGCCTATGTCTTTAAAGGGATCAGCTGTGGGGAATGATGTATAAGGAGCTCTGTATACATCTGTAGCAACCTGTTATTTGTGGGTTGAACCAGGGTAGGTGCACTTCCTCTTTACATGATCTGTTAGAAAATTTCCTGCTTTAAAAAAAGGGCTGGCCAGATAGCTCAGCAGATTAAAGCACCTGCTTAGGCAGATGCAGAGACCGGGGTTCTGTCCCCAGCATGCCCTGCCAGCCCTGCCCCTGGGGCACACTGAGATGGCGATTGAGACTGGGTGTGGTGGTGCGCACCTGTAATCCCAGCGCTTGGGAGGCTGAAAACAGGAGGATCACCACTAGTCTGATCTGTGTAATGAGACCGTGTAGATCCTGTACTAAAATACATTAAAAAAAAAAAAAAAAGAAGAAAAGAAAAAAAAATTCCTGGCTTTGCTGGTCATTCAGTTTCTGTCACTTGGCTCTGCTGTTGATGTGATGGCGTAGCGTGTTAGTAACCAAATGTGGCTGGGGCCTCGACAGCTTTATTTCTGAGAGTGTGTGCCCGCTGTGATTCCCTCGGCCCCAGGGATGGGGTTACTGTTGGCCCAGGGTAGGGAGTTTACTTGGGAGCCTTGCCAGGAGGCTTCTGAGTCCTCTAGACTCCAGCCCCAGCCGTGGCCCTGTGGGCTTGATTCCAGTCTGCTCTCTGCCCTTTCTCCTGCTCTTCCTGGTGCGGAGGCCCTTTTAGCTTCATAAGCCGGACCTCTGGAGGGCACTAAAGATTTCTGCCCACCTGAAAGGAAGACATACATTGAATTGGCACTTTTTCTTCAGAGAAAAGATGCAACATGATATGTAGTGTTTTCTAATGAGGAAAAAACTTACCTAATTAAATAAAAATGTACTTAACAACAGAAAGGCTGGAAAAAGCAAAATGAAAAGAATGGATGAAGGTACAGATTGTAGAGAGATCTTACGAGGTCCTGGGCAGGAAGCGGGCTGGCTTTGCGGACCTGATGCCGTCTGTGGTAACAGTCTGGTGTCTTGGGAGGCGGGCTCAGGCTGGTCTCGTAGGTCCTGGAGCCTTGTCTTGATCCTCTGCTCTGTTGTCCTTCCTATTAGACCATGACATCAGCTAGGCCCCCACTGGACCCTGCCCAGCCCTGCCAGAGGCCTCTGCCTACCTCATCTTCTTCCTCATCCCTCACACCTGTGAGTGCATCAGGCCCGGGGCCCTTGCCTGCACGGTCCTCACCGGTGAACAGACCCTCCTCAGCAAGTAGCAAGGCGCTGTCTCCTGTTACCTCCCGGTCTCCTGGGGCAGCGGTGCCAGCCCCCCCCAAACCACAGAGTCCTGCACAGAACATTGCCACATCCCAGGACAGCCCTCAGGAGAAGCTGGCAGAGCAAATAGCCCTGGTAAGCATGCCGAAGCCAATTAGAACATGTGTGCCAAGGAAGTGAAGTCTCCCTGTGTGCCCAAGGCTGGCATCCAACTACTGGGCTCAGGCCCTAGGCTTCCTGCCTCAGCCCCTGGTGTACCTGGGCCTGCAGGTGTAAACTCTCATACCTGGCCTGGGTTCTAACTTGTGCAGTGTATGTGGTTTTGATTTTGAAGGCTGTGATTGTTTAAAATTTCACCTTGCCCTGTAGTTTGGGATCATTAGAAGCCACAGTTGAAGCGCAGGGTGTGTGTCCCCACTTCTAGTAAAAGCAGGCTCTGTGAGGAGTCTCTTCCTTGTGGCACAGTGAGGGTGCAGGGCTGCTTTCTTAACAGCTGCAGGGGAGGGGGCAGCAGTCAAACAGGCTGAGTGGTTAGAGCCAGGTGGGCCTCTCCTACCATTGCTGTCTAGCACAGAGCACTTGGCGCTTGTTAGGTGACTAAGTGTTTACTCTTCACAGCTTCATTAGGGGAGTGAAGAAGGTGCGGTACATCAGAATAGAGTGTTATGGATCCCCTGCTCCTCATGATCTGACCATAGCACAGTGATCGATAAGTGGTGGTCTCATTTCCAGTATTCCTCCCTGCCCTGACTGTTTTCAAGCAGATTTCAGCATCATATTGTTTTCCTTGTAAATACTTTGGCATAAACACTAGCTTTTGCTGAGTAAGGTGGCACATGCCTGTGTAATGCCGGCTACTTGGGAAAGTGAGGCAGGAAGATTCAGTGTTAAGTGACTGCCCTCAGGAGCTTAGGGAGACCTTGTCTTGAAATAAACAATAAAAATGCTGGGGCTGGGGATGTAGCTCCCTTCTAGAATGCTTGCGTAGCACTTGGAGGCCCTGGAGCTTTTGGTGCTGGGCATGGAAGTGCTTTTCTGCTGAGATACCCTGGCTGGGTTTTATTCTGCTTTTAGAACAGGGGTGGGTATGGTGTTCTGGCCTCCTCTGAGCCATCTGGGAGGCCCTTGAGCCACATAACCAAGGTCCAGTGCTCACCTCACAGTCTCCCCCTCAGCGCCTGACAAAGCCCCTTTCATGGTAGGATTCAGATATTGGAACCCAGGTTAGTGGAATGCACCTACAAGTTGTGTGTTCACTCCTTGTCTCCCCATACTGTACCCTTCCAGGAAAACCAGATCCACCAGCGGATAGCAGACTTGCGGAAAGAAGGCTTGTGGTCCCTGAGAAGGCTGCCTAAGCTGCAGGAGGCCCCACGGCCCAAGTCCCACTGGGACTACCTTCTGGAGGAAATGCAGTGGATGGCCACAGACTTTGCCCAGGAGAGAAGGTGGAAGTTGGCTGCTGCCAAGAAGGTGAGCTCAGAGCACAGGCCAACTCTGTGGTGAGTCCATGTGCAGGGCCATGGTAGATGGACACCCGTGTGCTGGGGACTTTTGGAAGAGCGTTCTCTTGCATGTGGAAGGAAGGCAGCTGCAGGTCTACAGAGCTGCAGCCTGCACTGCCAGGAGCAGGACCAAGCCTGGCTATGGTTCTGCTGCAGTTGGGTTCCTACCCTTTCCTTTGGCTGGCTCTTTTTTTTTTTTTTTTTTTTTTTTGGTGGAACCGGGGATTGAATTGGCTGGATCTTGGAATCAGCAGGCTTCCAATGTCCCACACCCTCCTGGTACCCAGGCTGATCAGGAGTAGGGTGGCCAACACGTCCTGGCCTTTTTGCCTGCCTGCCTCTGATGCCTGCTTCTATTTCGTTGAATGCCAACTTCGTGACTTTGCCCACAGCAGACACAGAGTCCTGGGAGCACCACAGGCAGCCAGCCCTCTGAGAGCCCCAACTGCCCTCACCTACTGCCCTGTCTCTTATGGGCCCCTGTGCTGCCGTTTCCTGTGTTCAGGGTCCCCTGCCCTGAGTACTTCTACCTCTGACATCCCACCCTGCTTAGTTTGTATTTTTTTACTTATATTTTTGATTTTTGAGACAGGGTCTTGCTCTGTTGGAAATGAGCTCCCAGACTCAGTTGTCAGTGTACATAATGAAGCATGCAGACACCAGGAAATCTCGACAAGGCCTGTTACTTTTGCAAAATGGCACAAGTGTGAGGCAGTGGGCATACAGGACAAAGCACGGTTGCCCCATTACTCCTAATGCAGGAGAAGCAGCTGATCTTTAAATTCCTTGGCTGAATTCAAAGGTTTATAGTCTGTCATGGTTAACTACAGTGGTAATGGTGGTGAGGGCTTGGTGTATTGCTGAGTAGGTTAGAGGGAGTGTGGGGTTTAGAATGAAAAGTGTTTGGTTTTTATCTTGCGAACTGACTGTGTTCTGGGGAAAAGTACATAGTCACCATTTTTTGGAGCTCAGGATACTAACAGATGTGGTGGAGTGAAGTGGGTGTGGGTGCTGAGTAGACAGCCAGCTCATTTAAACCCAAAATCATGTTGCTTTGGCCTTTGCTTTATCAGAAAAGACAAAGTCTATTTTTCAGTTTTCCCTGTCTCTTATCTTTGTGTTCCTTATTAAAACTTTGTGAGCAGTTTATCTGTGTCCTTTTCCTCCCCCCCCCCCCTTTTTTTTTTTTTTTTTTTTTTTTTTGCAGAACCGGGGATTGAACTCAGGCCCTTGCACTTGCTTGGGAAGCACTTATTCTGCTGAGCCATCTCCCCAGCCCCTCCCTCCCCCTTTTTTTCCATTTTTCTTTTCTTTTTTCTTTTTTGAGACAGTCTCACTGTATTGTTCAAGACTGGCCTTGGCCTTGAGTTCATGATGTAGCCCAGGTTAGCTTTGAACTCTTGGTGACTCATCCTCAGTCTCCCAAGTGCTGGGATTACAGCTGTGTGCCATCCTACCCATCATGTTCTTCTATCAAGAACTTGTTAGTTAGATTAATTGGGGGAGACTGATGAGTAAGGACAATCTCCAGGCAAGAATAAACAGACTTGGGCACAGGTGTGACCAAAGCCCAGGCCCTGGAACACATAAGCAGATTTGGGAAGAAGCCACATCTGGACACTGTCTTTAAGAGACTGGAATCGCTGGCTCTTAGTCCTGTATACAGGTGTATCCAGAAACAGTCCTAAGGACCAGTGGTTGGAGCTTCTTTTTGGTGTTTTGCCTACGTTGTTGTTATGATTGTGGTACAGGGGATTGAACTCAGGACCCTGCGCTTGCCAGGCAAAAGCACTTATTCTACTGAGCCATCTCCCCGGCCCTGTTATTATTATTTCAATGGGTCTTTGGTTACACTTTTTTGCTGGGTGGCTAAGTCCAAGTTAAAGTGAGAGCGTTGTTATTATTATTACTATTATTATTAATTTTTTTTTTTTTTTTGTGGAACCGGGGATTGAACTCAGGCCCTTGCACTTGCCAGGGAAGCACTTATTCCACTGAGCCATCTCCCCGGCCTCCAGTGAGAACATTATTAATCAAAGTTAACTTTTTTGTGAGCCAGGTATCCAAGTCAGTTGGGTTCGTTATTATGGGCTCACGTGTGGAGACCCAGGTCTGCTGTCAGTGTTCGCTACCAGGGTGAGTCATGGTCTGCTTGGCCGTGGAGCTTCCTGTGGAAGCTCAGGAGACATTTTTAGTGACCTTCTTTTCTTAGCACACTGTACTTTGGTTAACTGCAGGGGTCTCCTTGGTCAGGAGGTTGGATGACTCACCATATTTGTAGTGTCTTGTAGAAAAGGTCCCCTCCTGTCCTGGGTTTTTGTTCACCTTGGAGGGGCAGGGCCAAAATACTGGCAGTCTTCATAGCCCAGTTACGTTTTTAGCTTTGGTCTCCGAGCTTGGGTGTTGAACACCCAGGCATTCAGTTCTTCTTGAGAGGTTGAAGTGCCTTGAAGTATATAATATAACCAGGAAACTGTTATATTTTTTGAATCAATCGTGGGTATCTTAGAAGTTGAATCCCTGTAGAATATTAACAGATAACAAAGTTTAATAGAGAAAAGCTGAGATCAAGAACAATGTAACACTCATGCTAGCATCATTATATTAGAACCGTTAGGTTGGGCTAATACCTTTGAAATATAGTTTTTGTTTTAGTATAAAATAAATTTTTAGTCAGTTGTCTTTGGTTAGAAAGTTCTATCTTAAATGACATTCAGAAAATTTTAACTAATTTGATATCTTTTAATCACTTTTGTTACCAGAGTAATATTTAAGGAGAACTTAACCCACAGATTATGAATGTTTAACTCTTAATCGTTGTAGGGACACTGTCTGGTGTGTAGAAGATATAGGCCCATCAAATTACTCTAACACAGTCATATAACAGCCCCATAAATCTAAGTCTGGAAAGGTCCACCGTGACGAACAAGTGTAGTTGGGAGGTCATCAGTATGGCAAGATGTCTTTTTCTGCGCTTGTATCTTAAAACAGCTAAATACTTGAGAAAGCACAAATGTTTTTAATGTACTATGAGATTAGCAATGAATGGCATCACAACTGTACAGAAATCTTACTTCTTTAGATATAGGGAACTTAACCTTTGACTTATAACCCACCTTAGTATATTATGGTAATTCAGTGATCCCTGAGGTGTGCGTCGTAAGACCCTAGGGAAATCAGCTAAGTTTTGGGCTAGGTAGTTGGTTTTTAATCATGGAGAGGAGTCTTGCTTAACAACTTTTGAAGTTGAAGGGATCCCTTCTTAGTTACCTTGCCAGCTGTTTTATATGACATCATAACAGTTAACATTTTAAGCCACATGTGGAAGACGAAGAAAGATCTCTTTAGATTATTGTACACAGACATTGCATTTATAAAACTAATTCTGAACATTGTCTTGGTTATGTAACTTCCTGACTGGAAACATGTCACCAGTCTTTACAATACCTTTATTTTTATCAACTGCTTTATTTTATTTTTTTAATTAAGTAAATTTTATTTTAAAGAAATTTCATGTGATTAATTAGGGCCATGTTAATGAGGCTGTCTTCAGAGTAGGCCTTTTCGAAAGAACTGAAGCTTACTCCAGCCATCCCATCTGCCATGTGGTCTTATATTCAGTTTCATCCAGCAATACATTTTTGGAGCATTTATGATAGATGGATCTGCTTAGTCTGACACTGTCTCTAAACATGCATTAAGTTCATTCATCTCCTGCAGAGAAATTACAAGGTTTAGAATGGCACCAAGTAGTTCCAGTAAATCTAAACTGTGCAGACTGAATAGCTATCTCCAGCTGTCAGAATTAAATTTTTAGTTCATGTTTGTATCATCAACTGCTTTAAATTAGTGTAGAGTTAAGCTGTGTGAGCCACATAAAAACACACAGTTTAATCATATATAGTCTTCGTGTTTTCAGTTCTAAGGCCTTTATTTGTAAGTCTCACATGAGTTGGAAGTCTCTTACATTAATTTTATAATCTTTTGAATGACCTAGATAATTGTTTTTATGTGGGAGGTCAAGAGAGCCAGAGCTTTTAGAGCTCTTAGAAATACTGGCCAGGGCCAGGGAGATAGCTCAGTAGAATAAGTGCTTGCCTGGCAAGCACAGGGTCCTGAGTTCAATCCCGGTACTGCAAAGAAAAGAAAGAAAAAGAAAAAAAGAACAAGAAATGTTGGCTAAATTGAGTTACAGCTATAATAATCTGCTGTAGGTTTATTATAAATTGACTAGTCAGAACTTTTTGGGGTGGCCAATTGTGTAGATATTTTTTCTAATAGTGGTAAAAAGGTAAGAGGGGAAAACTTTTTACTATAGATTTTGATAGGTTTTTCAGCAGCGCAGTAAAGAGATGGGAAAGGTAAAAGACGCCTTTAGTAAAGCCACAGCCCCGGAGAGGATCGAGGGCAGGTGGGGCAGGTAGTCCTCTGGGCTGAGACAGAGAAAGCCGAGGCGCCTGTGGACTTCTGCTAAGGGTGGGGCTGGAGGGGATGTTTAGAAATGTCTGGGAGCTGACTGGGTCTTCCCTGTGGCAGCTGGAAAGGTGGAAGGAAACTGCACCCTGGGCTGGGCTGGAGAAGCAGTGGGGAGGCGGTCTCTGCGAGGATAAGCTGCTGTTTTAAGGGCTTCAGCTGTATCAGACGACCACCACAATAATCCAGCAGTTTACGCTAGGGCCAGCACCTGTCAATAAGATCAGTCTTCCCTTGTGCAGCTGTGGCCACTGTACCAGGGACTAAGTCCTCAGGTGGCACCAGCTTCTATTGAAGCCGGTCCAGAATGTTGGAAATTATATATAGGTTGGGACAGGGACTCCTGAGGGTCCCATGAGGAGGAGACCAGAAGTGAATCCTTTTGTTTTTTAATTTAAGTCCCTGGGGCTTTTAGGGGAATGGAGGACAACTAGCTTTTGTTGCTAACATGGCATAATTTTATCTCTTCCTGAGACCTTAGTCTGTCATTAACATCTTTAGTCAATTGGCATAGCTGCTTCTCCCCAGAGTTGAACTGGCCTTGAACTCTTTATGTAACCCAGGCTGGCCTTGACTGCCAGCTGACCTCCTGCCTCAGCCTCCCAAGTGCTGGGATTATAGGCAAGTGCCACCATGCTTCCCCCCCCGCCCCAGTCTGGAGGTTGTCAGTCTTTAGCACCAGTCCAAGGGGCCTAGTATTTTATCCTTGAGCCCATTGTTCTTCTAGCCTGTAGGCATTTATATTTTCTGTTCTGTTTGTGCCAAAGCCAGAGGCCCAGTCTCAGTGTGCAGAGATATCTTGCCTTGGGTTACTTTTGAAGGATCTTGACTTGGGACAGGGACAGAAAAGCCTTGGGGGCAACTGAGTACTGTTTTGTACTTTCTTACACTGGTCTGTGCACGGTTGCCTGGTTCTCCCCTTGTTGCTTCTGGGTACTTTTTTGCATTGCTGAGAGATCTTTGCCAGTCCAGAGATCTTGGAAACAGGTGTTTGTCTTGGAGGCCACTTGCAACAAGGCCAGTGAGTCTCCTCTTAAGTGAGAGTTCTCATGTCTCAGTAACCCCTGGGCCCTACAGTTAGTTGGGTGCCAAAACTTGAAAATGAGCCTCCAGATTCGATTTGTCAGGACACAATGAAGCACTCGGACCCCCAAATTCTTGACACGATTTTTTTTTTTTTAATTTTTAGGGAAGGGTCTACAGGATGTTTAGGGTCTCACTACTAGATCAGACTCTAGTGATTCTCCTGTTGATAGCCTCCCATGTTGATAGCCTCCTGTTGATAGCCTCCCATACCTAATCCTGAGGTATTTGGTTTTTGGGGGTTTTTTTTGTTTTTCTTTTTGGCGGAACCGGGGATTGAACTCAGAACCTGCGCTTGGGGCTGGTGAGATGGCTCAGTGGTCTAAAGCACCTACTTAGAACAAGCTTAGCAAAGCACAGGGACTGCGGTTCAATCCCCCAGCACCACATGCCAGCCAGCCCCGCCCCCTGGTGGGCTGAGCTGGCCACACACACACACACACACACACACACACACAAATAAATAAATAAAATTTAAAAAAAAAAAAAAAAGAACCTGCGCTTGCCATGGAAGCACGTATTCCACTGAGCCATCTCCCTGGCCCATCCTGAGGTATTTGGATTAAAGCTATTTGGATTAAAGCCAGCTGAGCTGTTTGGCTGGCCCATTGACATGACTTTTTACTTTTGTAAAAGGTCACAACATGAGGTGACGGGTACAAGACAAAGCAGGATTGCACCTTTTATTCCTAATGCAGGAGAAACACCTGACCTTTAAACTGGTTGGCTGATTTCAAAGGCTTACCTATAGTCCAGGCTGGCCTTAACCTTACAGCGATCTTCCTGCCTCATTCTCCCAATGTGTGCCCCACTGATTTCTCTCCATTTCTTTCTAAGTGAATTCTAGGAATAAGTGATCTAAGATCAGACTGACAGGAAAAACCCAGCTGTTTGCAGAGGAAGAAGGTCCTAGATGCGTGCACTCTGGAGCAGACACTGTGTTGGCACACCTAGGGTGTGGCCTGGGCACACAGATGTTGGGCTGGGCAGGACAGGTCAGCTGGTTGGGGACAGAATGGACTGACAGGATGGACCTCAGAGTAGCCCTGAATCTGCTGCTATTTGGCAAGCCGTGTATCCTGCCCTCTTTGCGGTCCCTTCTCCCTAGATAGGCAAGCAGAGGGCCCTGAGCATATAGTCCCCACCATGAGGGTGGCAGACCTGCAGTGTCTCAGCGCTCTGGGCATGTCCTCAGCCTCCCTTCTTCTTCACTGCCTCCTGGGGTTGCTGCTGATGGGCAAGTTTCTGTGGGCAGTGCTTCTTGTGGGAACCTTAGTCCTGAAGGCCTCTGGGTACATGGAGTGCAGATTAACACTGTAAGGTGGAGGCCTTAAAGATGTGGATCAGGGGCCAGGGAGAAAGCTCAGTGGAATACGCACTTCCCTGGCAAGCGCAAGGACCTGAGTTCAATCCCTGGTTCCGCTAAAAAAAAAAAAAAATGTGGATCAGGGCTGGCCAAATAGCTCAACAGATTAAAGCACCTGCAAGCAGGCACAGGGGCCAGGGGCTTGATCCCCGGGCCTGTTGTGCCGGCCCCACCCCCAGGGCATGCTGAGATGGCAGTTGAGACTGGGCATGGTGGCGTGCTCTTGGGAGGCTATAAACAGGAGAATCTCTACGAGTCCAATCTAGTAGTGAGACCCTGAACAACCTGTACATCCTTCTCTAAAATTTAAAAAAAAAAAAGATGAACCAGCTGGGCACAGTGATGTTGCATGTTTGAAATCCTAGCTCCTAGGAGCCTGAGGCAAAAGGGTTGAAAGTGTTAGCCTGGCCCAGGCAGTTAGTGGGACCCTGTCTCAGAATAAAAAACAAATTGCTGAGAATGTAGCCCAGTGCCCTGGGTTCAGTTCCTAGTGACACACACATGCATGCCCCAGCGAAGCGTCCTGACACAGAGTTCTCACGTCTAGGAACTGGTGAGCTTGGTGACATTCATGCTGTAGGACACGTCTGGCCCATTAGAAGTGACACTGGTCCCCATTTATTGAACAGAAAACTTCATTACAGTAAAGGCAAAGGGGAGTATAGCGGAGTGTAGTATTCCATGTTTGAGAAAAATATGTATACTTGGTCAAGTCACACTTTGTTGAAATATGAATCGAAGGTTAGTGGTCTGCTTGTGCCAGTGTTTCTCATAGTGCGCTCTGAAAGCAGAGGAGATTGCTCCTTTTTCTCTAGGGTGACAGAGAATGTGAAATAACCTTCTTGAACTCTTTATTTCCAGCTTGTCAGAACTGTAGCACGCCAGCATGCAGAGAAACAGCTTCGAGAGGAAAGGGGGAAGAGAGAGGAACAGAACAGACTGCGGCGCATTGCTGCCTCTGCTGCCCGAGAGATCGAGCACTTCTGGTCGAATCTTGAGCAGGTGGGACTCGCGGCCTGAAGGCCCTGGTCCCTGCTGGCTGGCGCCTGGTCAGCGGCTGCCTCTGTGCCTGGAGACGTGGCGGCAAGGAGCACATGTTGAGCTGGTGGCCAGGGCTTGCCGGTGGTACCTGTGTGGGAGCCTGCAGCCACTCTCATCCAGGGCTCTCTTGTGAGACAGGTCTTAGTTTTACCACTTGGTGTCATTGTTGCAGGATGCAGTAAGGTTCAAAACAAATAGCAAAGCACCAGACTGGACGTTTCTTTCTGAATGATGTGAAATGCGGGCGGGGCTACTTTTGTGCTATATGACTTGCTCTTTGTGGGATTCTATAATTCACATTCTTAATAAGTTGCTCACCTATTTGACTTTTTGTATTTAGGTTGTGGAAATAAAACTGCAAGTAGAATTAGAAGAAAAAAGGAAAAAGGCCTTAAATTTACAGAAAATTTCCAGGAGAGGTATGTTTTTTGCCTTTTCTTTCTTTTTTTCTTTTTCCCTTTTTTTAGGCATTATATCTTTTATAAAGCCCTAGCAAGGGCTTGGGGTTTAACTCTGAGGAAGAGTGCATGCTGTGTGTGTGTGTGTGTGTGTGTGTGTGTGTGTGTGTGTGTGTCCTGGTTCACTCCCCAGTACCAAGAAGAAGAAAAAAGCTTAACAGTTTCCCTGCGGCCATTTGCTTAGATTCTGCTCCACCAGGAAAAGACTGCATGGTGCCCTGGCCTCGAGCGTGAGGCAGGTCTGCTCACAGAGCTCGCTGGGTGTGAGTGCTCCACCTCAGTGTCGTACTGCCTGTGATGCATCCAGTTTTGTACTTCAGATTCTTGTGAGACACATGAGTGTGAACCAGGACCTTTCCATTAGTAATGCTGGGGGGTTGACGTCAGGCTGCCTGGCTCAGCATCTGAACAGCAAGAGGAGCTCACTGAGGTGTATGGCAGACGAGGACCTTTGGGGGCTGGGCTGGCACTGGCTCTGCACTATGACTTTCCTGTTTTGGTGGCAGCTGCCTCCAGTCGATGGGCCTGTGGGACCCTGCGCAGGCAGTGATGCCTATCCCTCACAGTGCCTCAGGTGGTAGTAGGGCACTCACCTTACTGATGGGGAAACCGAGGCCCAGAGAATCTCACTGTTAAAGTCACAGTGGGAAGCAACTATATCAGACCTCAGGAAGAAAGAGGTGGGGCTTGCACTCCTGCACTTCCTTGCATGGTGGCAGGAGTGGAGCGGAAGAGCATCATCTTTCCAAAGCTTTAGTGACAGCTAATCATGTTTCTTGTCTTTAGGAAGAGAGTTGCGATCTAAGGGATTTGATCCACTGTCAGAACACTTCCTGGTAAGGTTCATAATGTTACTGCGCACAGCGAAGAAGGGAAGCGACGTAGGCTAGCCCTGTGTTGTCCCAGGGCTCCTTGTTGTCCTCTGCAGCTCATACTGAATGGACTCTCGTGACTCGGTCATATGTTTGATTTTTATTACGTTTCAGGATTCCGGACTTTCTGGAAGAAAGAGGAAAGCGAGCACATCTCTGACAGATGATGAAGGTATGTTCCCTTCCCTTGGTGCCAACCCTGCCCCAGGACCCTCAGAGTCCGTGACCCTGTAGTAATCTTGTTTTTAAGCCAGCTGGAAAGCACAGCCTCTGCATGTGTGCAGGTGTTTCTCAGTGTACCGAAGACTTGGTGTTCCTAGAAGATTCCAGGTGATTTCTGGGGCGGCACAGTGGCATCTGCCTTTGTGAGCGTTGGAGCTCAGGGCATCCAGAGAGCAGTGGGGCCACATGCTCTGGTAGCATAGGGCCGTGTCCACCTTGAGGGTATCCCTGGTGTAAGGGGTCAGGACACCATGCAGGCAGGAACTGTGCGGGCTGTCAGCAGCCAGGGCTCTTGAGGGGGACCCCTGTGATACTCAGATGGGAGCACCCAAGTAGGCGTGTGGAGGGCTGTGAGTGAGCTGGGAACAGCCTGTGGCCAGCAGCCTCTGAACTGTGTGCTGTGTGTCTCAGGGCTGGGCCCGGGGTTTGGGAGCCAAGGGAGGGGCAGGAGCAGGTCTGTGGAAGCCTGTCCAACAGTGACCCATCCCAGCAGGGGCCTAGTAAGGCCTGAGGTATCAGCGGTCAAATGGCTTATTGATTCAATTGGTAAAGTCTAGTAACCTTTTCTGGATTTTGAGAGTTTAGTATTTTGGCGTGTACTGATTTTTAGTAATGGTCAGAGTTGAGTTCTGTTACAAGCAACAGGAGCAAACTGTAGTGGCCCAAGTGGACTGGAGCTTGGAGAAGATGGTCCAGTGCTGGCATGGGACTTGGTAGTGTCTTTGGAGGTCCCCACTTCTGTTACCAAGGATCTCCAGCTGCTCTCCTGGGCAGGTGGCTCTTGCAGCTCAGCTTTCTGCTGTAGCTTGAGGTATTAGTGAAAGTGAAGGAAGGGACAGCTCAGCACAATGGGTGCCTCTAGCCCCTGGGAGGAAGCAGATGCCTCCCAGGAGGTCCTGGCCATCTTCCTGCCAGGTCCTGCCCACACGCTAATGCTTGGATGCTGCTGTGTGGCCACGTACAGTGATGCGGGTAAATGTCTTCATGGGTGTTTCGCTGAGGTGAGGGCATCTCATGGGGTAGGTTAGCACAGGGAAGTTAGAGTGCTCAGGAGGAGCTCCCGTACATGAAGTTTACATTCCCTTTTAAGGGAGATTCGAAACCTTTCTTTCCTGATACTGATTTATCTTCTGCTTGTGTCTGGGTCTTTTCCTTTTTCTTCTTCTTTTTTATTTTTATTTACAAAATTATTTTATTCATATTCATGTATGAAAAAATGGCTGTACTATCATGTTTACATACATTCTTATATTGGAAACAATTCAGTTTCAAATCATATTTAAATTTTATAAGGAACGCATAAACATTAAGCATTAATTGATTATAGTAAACAGAATAGGAAGAAAAACCATAAGGCATAATTTTTTCTTTTATTAAAGAGCGGCATCCTCTGAGAAGAACCAACTCAATTAGTGATATTCACCCACATTGCAAAATAATATATACAAAGGAAAGTTAAGTGATTGTACTGATTTTATTACTTTTACTACACCATTTTTATCTTCCTTACACTCCATTCGAAGAAATAAAGCATGATCTGAAGAAAAGGGTGTCCTCCTTTGTCCTTGCCATGCAAAGGCCTGGAAGCGCTGGACAAGTGAGCACAGTGACTCACTCGGATCATGTGCAGTGGTGGTTCGGACCCACGAGGAGAATCTCACCTTAACTTGGGGGCCAGACTAACTCCGTGGGAGCTGTGTAGACAGAAGCACTTCTGTTCTTGCCTCCAGTCTCACTAAGCAGAAAAAGAGCTTACAGAAGAGAGTGCAGCCATTCATCTTTCTTTTAGAAAGAAGGCCCTTTCTTGAGTACCTGAAAAAAAGGGTGACTGTGGTCGAAGGATTGGTGGATTGATACTGTGTTGTTACAATGAGAACAAGGCACACACTGAAGCCACAGTAAGATTGGACCAGGGAGATGGCTCAGTGGAATATGCGCTTCCCTGGCAAGCTCAAGGGCCTGAGTTCAGTCCCCGATTCCGCCAAAAAAAAAAAAAAAAAAAAAAAAAACCAGACAGAATAAAGTGTGAATCACAATAAGATTAAGAAACTTGGGGCTGGGGAGACGGCTCAGTGGAATATGCGCTTCCCTGGCAAGCTCAAGGGCCTGAGTTCAGTCCCCGATTCCGCCAAAAAAAAAAAAAAAGAAAAAGAAACTTCCACAACTTTTATCAGTTCCTCAAATAATGGAGCAAGTCCCTTTCTAAGCTGACAGTCAGTCCTGTGTTGGCATTGCTGCTTGTTATGAAGCTCATCACCAAAAGTAAACGATTGACCGAAGCACCTGGTAGGTGTTATAGTAGCAGGTGATGCTGCCAAAGCAGACGTAGACAAGAAGCCCGGCCTCCAAGCATGCTCCAGGGCATTGTCATTGGCCACTTTAATAATAGGTACTCCGTCTCTGTGTGGTACAGTCATCGCATGGAGCGCTTCAGCACTTGGTGACCTCTTATACAGGAATCGCTCTAAGTCATCAGCCATGCCGCGCAGCTCTGGCCTTGGCCCCTGGCCTCCTTGGTTGTCCAGCTGTCTCCCACAGCCCTTCAGCAATACCTTCAAACAGCTTCCTCTCCTCTCCTCTCCTCTCCTCCCCCTCCCTCCCCTCTTTTTCTCCCTTTCTTTCCCTCTCCCCTTCCCTCCCTCCCTCCCTCC